GCGTTGCCCGCCCCTGGGCGCAGCCTCTTAAATAACCAAAAATCTAAAATCATTTTGGTGGCCCCTATAGTCTAATGTCTTCGGTAGGCCCACTGCGAGACACTGGTGCTATCTATGAGAAACACTGGAGGGAAATATAAGCCACAGCCTAACCCTAAACCCTAAACTCTAAACCTAGTTACAATTTTAATGTTTTCCTACCTGGTGCGAATCCGCAGCCTCCCCAAACTGGTTTAGGATATGGGGTTTAGGGCTTAGGGCGCCTACCTGCGCAGAGCTGAGTATCCATGCGCCGATGACGCCACTCCACTTCCAGGGATCTGTGGGTGGCGGCACATCCTGCGCCCAGCGAACCTCGTGGAGTTTGCCCAAGAAGCCATCGAAGCTGGGCTTTCTTCAAAATCCCCACCCGCTGTGAGACATCACAGGCTACCACCCAAATTTCTTCCAAAAGATCGTCTGGTTTCAAGTAAACATCATGACGGGCCCGCTGCAGGCGGAGCCTCCAGAAGCCTCCAGGGGTTTTCCAGGCACCTCCAGCGGCGAGCCTGGAGGGGCTCTACACGTCCATTCTCCATAGGCTGTCTTCCCCAGTGCAGGGGTGAAGGCCGACGTGTTTCTTCGGTGTCTGGCAACCCTAGCAAAGCGTGGGGGCAGCCCAAGCAGGCCGGGTGGGAATTTAGGGTTTAGGGTTTAGGATTTGGGGTTTAGGGTTTAGGGCTGAGAAGAAAACCTGTAAACCCACGGCCCACAGCCTCCCCAAAACCAAAAGCAATAAACAAGTTTTGGCGACCTCTACCCTAGGACTCGGTGACTATCATATGACTCTTCAAGGATCAAAAGTTCGGGGGTTTGGAGTTGCCAGAATAGTTTATGGTTTAGGGTGGCTTGGGGTCTGGGGGAGGGGGTTGGGGGTTAGCAAAACATGTCCAAACCTAAACCCTAGACCCTGAACCCAAACCCTAAACCCTACCCCACAGCCCAAAAGTTCTGCCTGGTGCGCGCGTGCAGCCTGCAAGGTTTCATGGGGGCGAAGCCTATGGCTGCTCGCCTGGATATCGCTCCTAGGCTCAGGGCTTTGCCAGGGTTAGGGTTTAGGGTTTAGGGCTCCTAGAAGACCTCTTGAAAGGGTTCTAGGCGTACCCATTGGGGTAATATTAGGGCTATATTAGGGTTATATGGGGACAATGGAAAAGAAATGGAACCTACTATAATGGGCTATGTAGGGTTTAGGGCCCTGAGCCTAAAACTGATAGGGTGTAGGACTTAGAGTTTAGGTTAGGGTTCAGTTTCAGGCTTGCTTGGGGTTCAATGTCTGAGGCTATTGAAAAGCTGCATTCCCTACGTACAACGGCTGAGCAGGACGATGCCATGGGGTGGAGGAGCTCCTTTAATCCCATGAGCTGTAGAAGTTTGCTGGCTTGCTGTTCAGGAACTTAATTTAAGCTAAGTTGGGGAAACCACATTAACTACTACATATTCCCATGATGGTAACTTAATTTAAGCCCAGTTTGTGGTATGAACTAGACCTTTCTGTCTAAACATATGCGCGGTTTATCCCCTGAAGGGCACGGATAGTCTTCCAAAACAGAGTAGGGCTAGGGTTTAGAGTTTAGAATTGGGAGTTTAGGGTTCTACAAACAAGGATGCAGGCAGCTGTGGAACCCTAAACCCTAAGCCCAGGCCAACAGATGGAGCTTATACTCGGATCTCTGGATGGGTCGGCATCCTAGCTGCAGTACGGAAAGACTTTTCAATGACAGCCGCAAGAAATCAAACATGTGACCCCTACCCTGCAGTACTGGTATAGCCTGAAGAAATAGGAGGACCTCAAAAGTATCACCATGATCCCTTCTAGTCCCTATTACTGGGCAGGGGGGTTCCACCTAACATGCGATGTTGGAAGCTTTTTGGCTGTCGGGCCACGTGGTTAGAGGTTTTACAGCTTAGGGCTTCGGGCCAATTTCACTCTTGACGGGAACCTAAACTACCTTCGGAACAAGTGTTCTGCCTGACGCTGGGACCTGAAAACAGGATCCGGATTCCCGATGAACTTGCTTTAGTCCCCGTACGGGACCTTTCCAGAACAAGGTGAGGGTCAGCTTTCCTAGGTTTCTCTGAATCGTCACTTAAAAAGGTGCCTTCAGATAAACCAATGTCCGTTAAATGTGCAGAAATATGTAGGTGAAATGGTGGGCATCACAGACTTGCCTGTAAACTGTTCTTGTGTAGACAAAGCCCAGAAGCCCAACAAGAGCTACTAGGAATACGACAAAACTCACGGGCACGTCGGCTTGAACATCTATCTCTTGGAACAACAGTAAAACACGAATACATGGTTCGTCGCGAAATTTGGTGTCCCTTTCCTGTCCATTTCAGAATACTCGGAAGGTTCTACAGCACTGCACACCGTTTTTTGAGATCAGCACCGAACCCCTGGCCCTTTGCCCTGAAATTCTGGAGTCCAGGTTCTCTAAATGTACTGCAGGCTCAAACCGCACTGCAGCTGGCTGCTGCTTCACAATCGCATCTGCTACCTCAGCGCGATTTGGATGTTTGCACACAAAGGCACACCTAGAAAAGCCAAGATTAATTGGCATGTTTAAGGGCCCTCCAGCGGACCCCTGATTGAGAGACTTGTACAAACTGTTTTCCCCCTCTCCCCATCGTGTGGCACTGCATCGGCGTGAGGGGGATACGTTCCGGAAGCTCGTCTTCTGCTATGACAGAACTGTCGCAGAGCACAAGACTTCGAATCAAGATTAGACGTATCAACCTGTTCTCGTTTTTTTCGCCCCATTATGGGCACAAGTTGTGCACGTCTCGCTTTCGGAATGGTCAACCCCCCCGGAGTCTTAGAGTCTTACCTCTGCGCATGACACAAGGTCTTTCAGCTGCCAGTTTACGTATGGCTCGCTCATCTGGTACCCTTCTCCGCCCTGAGGCTGCCTATTTTGGCTTTGCAACTAGCTGGCGGCGGTGGAATAGTTATTGGGGGGGGGGGGGGAAGTTGTGCAAAGAGAATGTTACACCAACGCTCAGTCTGCCTATCTTGGTGCATCTTCCGAGCACGCTTCCGCACGGCAAATGTGCGCGGCTGCATCAAAACTCGCATTCCAGATGCCGCAAATCTGTCTTTTGGAGGCTGATCGTGCTGGAACAAAGCAGGCCGCTCTGGTATGTCTTCCAAGGAGGCGTTCAACGAGCCTGTGTGGAAACAGGGCACAAAAAAACAGCTTGGACCAGTAGTTTTCCGAAGTCTTGCTTTTGCTACCAAGATAGCTGCGAAACCACAAAGCGACTACGACGACCACCCACCACTATCTTCACCACGCTTCGATGGACAAAACGCTCATACTCACAACGCCACACAGCCAACATCATGCAACACGTGCGGTTAAGGGTTTAGGGTTGAGGTTTAGGGTCTAGAGCCTTCTGGAAAGTGCAAGGCTTCCAACGCAGCTTCCCAGATACGGCTTGACGGCTTCTCTCACAAAAATCTGTAAGCTCGAGATCGGCGCCGACATCTACATGCTCCTGCCAACACCCCAACACCGCAAAAATGCTGTGCCCCTGCTTAACAGTCGTAGACTGCCTAAAATCTGCACTACAATTACTATTACCCAACTAGTAGACACTTAAATATTGGGTTGAAGGTTCCTCAGGGGTACCACCCATGTATGCTCAGATTCCGTTTAATGGTCCATTATCCATTCGGTTCTAACTTACTGTCGCAGTACTACCCCTAAACCTTTTATATCACCTATATATCCCTATATAGCCCCTACTTAGCTGTTGGACCCTTAGAGTTCACTATCACATTAATCGAATCCTGTAAGGACGATGTTTGACATCCTTCAACGTGCCCCTCATACTTTAGGGCTGAGGGTTCAGGGTACAGGGTTTGTGCGGGTTCGGGTTGAGGGTTCAAGGCTCAGACTTACTGGGGGTTAGTAGGGAATATAGGAATATATTCTACAGGGATTATAATCCCTTCTTCCCTACAAAGAACCAGTAAGTAGAACGTAGACGGCTGGATAGTTAAGGCTTGCTGAGTATGTCCAAACCGTGCTCTATGAGCGCTACGAGGTGGTACTCTTCATAACTCTGTTAAGGGTTTTACACCATGAGGAAACAATCCCCCAAAAGTATCAAACCAATTCCCTGCTATCATGCATGCCTGAGTAGTACTGGCGGGCACAATTTTTTGGAGGATGCGAAGCTGGTGGTGAGTAGGGAGGGAGGGAGTAGGGTGTAGGGACTTCTCCAAGGGATTGTAGAAGGACTACGATAGCGACACATTCTTCCAGTCAAAAACCAACGACCAGTAAGTCTTACTAAGACTCGAGCCGTGCTGGCACCCACCTCGTCGGCGTCTACGGCTTCCGCACCTGAGTTTAGGGTCTTTAGGCTTTCATTGGGGGTTTTAGGGTTTAGGGGTTTACGCGGTTCAGGGCCTAGAGTTTGGGCTTTCAAGCTTAGGGTGGTTTACAGCAGATGAAAAGTTGACGGAGTGTGCTATATGAGGGTAGTGTGGTGCACTTCCTTAAACAGAACAGTCTTGCCCAACAATGATCCAGGCGCAACATAGCGACGGTGGAAGAGTTGGAGCAGGCATCTTGGGATCAAAACTACTGCCTCTCAGCAACGACACTTCGATGGCCCATGTCGAGCGTTTGAAGCGTGTCATGTGGCATCCTGCGTTTATGCTTAGGCAATCGCAGAGAAGGCTGCTATCACCCAAGAAGTCAGTGCACAACAAGAAAACGCGGAAAACCAATTCCTGAGCGACTTCCCGTATGCCATCCAGCCCCTAAAAGAGAAAGCAGTTACGAGTCCTCCTACACTATGCAGAGGACGCATATGGCACTTTCCATAAAACGGCGGACCACGACATAAACTATAGTCCTCTTCATGGGGCCTCCCAAAAACACAAAGGGACCCTAAATTTCCGGAAATCGGCATATCCTTCAGCCCAGTCGGAGATGTAGATATCCCAACAACAAGCCAAGTGCCATGCTGCTGGCATAAGATTTAAGGTTTCGGGTTAGAATTTGACAGCATGACCCTTCCACTAGGTCGGAATTTGTCCGCATGTGCGTACCACAAACTCAAATACTAGGTCAACTTGCGCAGTACTGCACCTAACCACTACACTGGGGTTTTCAAAAGCAAAGGACTGTAGTACTTGGGGGTCCATGGTGGGGACCCTATTGATGTAAGCTCCCATATAATTCAAAAGGTCTCTTATGTAATTATCCAGCAAACACTCCCATTGGCGTTATTTGTACCCTACGACTCCTGATTTTGTTGGCGACCCTGAACCCCACTTATCTCTGTATGACCCCTGCAAAGCCGTATAAATAGCACCCATAGAACCCTCACGTATCCGTGCAAAAAGCCCTACACCAATTTTTGTTCCAGTGCACGTTGTCTCAACACGACTGGGGTTGCTTGGGCTTCCTTTCTTTAAGGTTTGGGGTCACTCAGCCGCCAGATGTAGAAATGCGGGTTTCCGGGTTCCTGTTGGAGGTACATACAAGAAGCTTGTAGCTTATTGAGGGAAACTCCCGAACATTCTGAGCTTCATTATCCTCGTGTCTTGGTGGTTGAGCGACGTATTATCGGCCAGCTCGGGCTCCTGCAGCTCTACTTAAAAGCTGACAGGACTTAGTACGTAAGAAAGATATAAGCCATAAGCTAAACTCCTAGTATCCCCCGTAGTAACCCCTGTACTAGTCCCCTATATAACCCTTTTTAAGGAGTTTGGACAATAGCTCAGGTGGTGACTATCCTATGGCTTGCTTGGCGGACCCCATGGTGAGACACCCCATGGTGAGACACTGTCTTTTGGAGCCAGGCGATGGTTTCTCCAAATCAAGGGCCCCGTTGCTTACTGGTGGTTAGTAGGGACTAAGGGAATATGATCCCGATATACTCTCTATATACTATATTCCTTAATTCCGTAGTAACCCGCAGTAAGGTTGTGTCTGCCAACAGCGGTAGGATTCTCAGTGTAAGGACCCGTGGCTTTGAGTAGCCTGCGCCATCCCCTCTTCCCTCCACCACCCTTGTAGTACACGTTACCCGTGCAGTGTATTACTGTATTTGAGAGTTTGAATATACCTATGCATGAGAAGGTGTTTAGGGGTGGGGAGGGGCGAAGGCGATTCTGTTGGACTGGCTACAACTTCTCAAGTTGAAAAAATGAATGGTGTGTCGCTCGACTTGGGCACGCGTGTACTCGCGGACGCCGCGCGTCACAAAACCACCCTTCAGATGCTTTACCTCCCTGGTGCCTAGCACCAACACACAGCTAGATCGAGAAGTTGACAAACAAGTAGACAAATGGAGATAGACAGAGCGAGAGCGAGAGAGAGAGAGAGAGAGAGCAGAGAGAGGGAGAGAGAGAGAGAGAGAGAGAGAGAGAGAGATATATATGGGTAAGGCTTTGGCGTGTAGTAGTCCTTGCCAACCACATACAACTGTCCTTCAACGCCCAACCAAGCACCAGGGAGGCATGTAACATTGAAGTATGCCCTATGGCCTTCTCAGGGAGAAGTCCAGGGTACAGTTCTAAAAGCACTCCACAGCATATGCTAAGGGATGCGCAAACAGCTCAGCCGTTGCGTGTTTGTATACATCCGGTGACATACCGAAAACGAAAACGATGCGGGTTGAGAAATCATAGCAAGAAGGCATCAACTCAGACGCTCCAGCAGATCAGAAAAAGATGGATCCCCATGGCTTAGGGTTTCAGGCTTTTGGGTGCACTTCCAGGTTGATTTTGCATTGTATAGGAGATCCACTCTTTTGCATCCGTGTAGTTCGTCTGAAGAACTCATCAACTCAGTTCTTTGTGGATGCCAAATGCTCAGCCACGATCTGGTTGATGGCAATGTTGTTGGTGAAAACCTGCCCGTCCAAATGCTAGGGTTTAGGGTTTACGGGTTTAGGAGTTTAGGGTTTAATGTTTAAATTCGTGGGCGAAGCCTAAATCCTAAGACCCTGAACTCGAAGCCTTAAACCCTATACCCGGATCTGTAAGCCCCAGCCCCTTATTAACCCCAAACCCTAAGATGCTAACCCTATTCCCTGGGCCCGAAACCTAATTAAGCACTCAACCCCAAACCCTAGCCACAAACCTTGAACCCTGATCCCTCAAACCGAAACTGCCACCAGCTTAGACCTATAACAAGAATGTTACATGTAATAGTTCGTTGGGTTATGCTCTAAAAACTAAAGACTAAAGATAGTTCTTAAGTCTCAAGGGGTTAGGAGGACACCCGAATCCCTAAACCTTACATATCCCTATATACCCAAGATACGTAAACCTGGTATATTGTGACCCCGAAACCAGTAATGCTCCTATATGAGCCATAGTCTAAACTCTCAGTACCCCCCTTAATAGCCCCTATAATACTCCCCTATATAATCCCGTACATCCTCTTTAAGGAATTCAGACTACAGCTCATATAAACCCCACATCCCTGAACCCGGGACTCCGTCCAGCGCCTGGTTCGTCGGCTCCACGTTGTCGGAGCGAGCAGCTTGTTCCCGTGAAGGACGACCCTTTCCTATGTTTTTAGGTAGGTTTAGGGTTTAGGGTTTAAGGGCTAGGGAGATCTTCCATACTATGGTATCCCCCTTAATAAGCCCTGTGATAGTCCCCGATATAGCCCCCTCTTTAAGGAGTTTAGACTATGGTTCATATTGACAATGAGGGGCCGTGGGATGTTACCTCATTGTAACTTGGGTTGTGTTTTTACCTAGCTCGGGGGTGGAGGGATTATGAGTTTCCATATATGTATAGATTAGACGTATAGTTACATACATATGCACACATATATATGTATAGGGTCTAGGGACCCTCAAGTAGACTTTGATATGCATACAATCCTTCCAGCAACCCTTATTAGGCACAGCCGCCTGGTATCCAGCGTCTTGCATTTTGAAAGACTTGACTGCCCATTATGAAGGTACTGAGTATAAAGCCCCTAAATCCTAAACTGAGGGCTTCAGGAATGTTAACTTTGCTCAAAGGTGCGGTCCAGCCGTCTTGGGCTGAGGCAATTATAGCCCCCCTTAAGTAGATAGAATATGGCTTTGGGTCTATTGTAATAAGGTTCCCATATACCCCGTATTCTATCTACGTGAGGCGACTATAGGTCATCAACTGGAGGGGGTAAACATGGAGAATTCCGATGTTGGACTTTCCGTTGAGTAAAAAAAAAACACCCCATGCTCTAAGATTAAAACCATGGGCCCCTAGCATAGGCCCTTGACCCTGGGATCCTGAGATACCTCGTACTTACCCTATACTTGTACTCTTCAGGGTCCCGAGGAATTAACGAAAAGAGCTCAGGGCCCATTCTTCATGGCCTGTAAACACAATGGGGTTGTTTTTGGGACAATGGACAAGAAAATGGAAACTACTATAGTAGTATAGGAGTATATATTGGGGTTATATTGGGGTCATTTTTGGGGATAATGGAAAAGAAAATGGAAACTACTGTTTAGGGCTTAGGGTTAAGGTTTTGGGTTTAGGGTTTTGGGTTTAGGGCTTAAAAAATTCCATCCTTCAAATGCTGGCCTGGCATCTAGTTATGACTATCTCCTTCTTTTTGGCGGCAGCTTCGATTCCCTCCGACATTTCCACGCTGCCGTCCCCAAGCCATCGAATGTCATCGTGTAGTCCGTTTATCCTAGCCTCAACGATGCCTTGGTTGCTCGGGTTTAAGGTTTAAGGCCTTGTAATATTAACCATTGTCCAAACTCCTAGTATCCCCCTTAGTAACCCCTATAGTAGTCCCCTTTATAATCCCCTATATAACCCCCTTAAGGAGTTCAGACTATGGCTCATATGGTAAGGAGGAACCCCACAAGCTGAAACACAATAAACAGGAAAAACTGCAGAAAAACCTAAACCCTAGACCCTAAAACCCTAAACCCTAAAACCCTAAACCCTAAAACCCTAAACCCTCAAACCCTAAACCCTAAAACCCTAAACCCTAACCCACCGAGGTGCGCAGGAGCCGTAGGATTTGAATCGTGTGAATCGGCACATCAAGGAGGAACATGTTCAAGAGTCCCTCAACAAACCTCGGGTTTAGGATTTAGGGTCTAGGATTTAGGGAGTCAGGGTTGAGGGTGTTGGGTTTTGGTATATGATGGGCTTACACTTGGGATAATGAAAATGGGGCAGTTCATGAGTGACAGACACAAAAGATCCACTGGCCAAGCCACCTTGGGGTAACCTTAGAGCGATATTGGGGTTATACATTGGGGATAATGGAAAATGAAATGGAAGCTACTAGGGATTATAGTGAGTCTATACACCCCAAAAACTCAATGGTTGAAAAGAACGGTTTAGACTTTAGTGGTTTAGGGTTTTGGTGTTCCAGTCTTCTCACTGTAGCCCTAACAGCAAACCACTATGCTGGAGAGGCGTCATGGGGGACGCGACGCGGCCGGGGGAGACAGACTTGCAGGCTACTGAGGCCCGAGCCAATAGATTCGGGCGTGGTATGGGGACGGGTACCATTTTGGGGGTTTATAATGGAAAATAAAATGGAAGCTACTATTCAGAGTTTATGGTTTAGGGTTTCCTGGTAGCATCCGAGAATAAGGGATATGAGAGAAGGCAGGTCTCCGTGAAAACCGAAACTGTTCTCTCAACAAGTCAGTATACTTGATCCCTGCATACTACCGATGGATACAAGCTATTCCAGCCGAGAAGCTCAGATTGAGAGAGGAAGCCCTTGCCGCTGATGTCGAGAATTTCGAACACTTCCTGCGCACGAGGCTTTGACAAAGAGAGCCTCTTCAGACCCCACTTCAAGAATGAACCTTGCAAAGAACTTTGAAACGTAGCTTGACAGAGATGCTTGCCAGGTTGTCAAAAGCTGCAGGACGATCATGACAACTACGGCAGCGACTTCCGCCACATCCGCCGCCACATAATCCGCCAAATCATGCACCGCATCATCATCCGCCACATCGTCCGCCACACCATCCGCCACATCGTGCACCGCATCATCCACCACATCATCCACCACATCGTCCACAGCATCATCCCATCATTCACGACATCATCCACCACATCATCTGCCACATCATCCACCACCTCATCACCCACCCCATCCAGCATCACCACCAGCAACCAGCACCAGCACCAGCACTCGTACCAGCACCAATACCAGTACCAGCACCGTACCAGCACCGTACCAGCACCGGCGCCAGCACTAGCAGAAGCACACCGCCGCCGCCGCCGCCGCCCCCACCCCCACCCCCACCCCCACCCCCACCCCCGCCCCCGCCACCGCCACCGCCACCGCCACCGCCCCCGCTGCCACCACCAGCACCAGGACCACCAGGGAAGAGAGGACAGTGGATGAGGATTGTTATGGCAGGATGAAGACTACGGAATGCTTTAGGAGGACTCCTCACCCTGTAATAGTGATATAATAGGAATGTGATAGGACCCTGATATAAGCCTTATTAGCCCGTATAGTCATATTACAGGGTGGGGGGTCCACCTACGGAATGTTTGTCAAGCAACGGCCAAATCTAGGCTTTATGAGCGGCTCCTGCAAGCTCGACACGCTGCTGTTGTCAAAAAGCTCTTGGGGGAAAACGTCCACGGACCTCACAAAGAAAATGAGGGGAATGATCCTATGTGGCTTAATTTGAGTTCGGTAAAGTTGCATGTCATGTCTTTCCAGCCTAAGGAACATGATCTACAGCACCGGAAGAAAGAAAACACTCTCTAAGCAGACTCCAGAGGGCATCTGCATGAACTCATCCAGCGACACTGTCCCATCGTGGTTGACGTCCAGTGTCGCGAACATTGAGGATAGCTTTGGCGCCTCAGCCGTGCCAAGTTGACTGACTGGGAATGCTAAACAACACCCCCAAACCCTAAGGCCTTAGGGGGACCCCCCCGCCCTGTAATAGTGGTATAGTAGGAATATATGAGGACCCTAGTAGAATCCTTTTTATGCCCTGTAGCCACTATTACAGGGTCGGGGGTCCACCTAACTAAGGCCCAAACCCAGGCCCAGTGGCTTCAAGCCTGACAGGCCCAATCTCAGGGCCGGAACAAGCCTCCCTGGGCGATCACTACCACCCCCATGCTTTAACCCCCTAGTATCAAAACCACCCGCCCCGAAAAAATTGAAATATTCCAAAAAAAGTAGTAGAATGTACAACCATGGGAATATTTGACAGCAGTAATTCTTAGGGGAAGCCTTGAACCCTGAGCCAGTGCTTTAGTTCCGGCCAAGGCGCTGCTTTCCTGAGCTTCTCCTGTAACACGTGTCGCTTCAGCTCACGATCCTGGGTTGCTGTTAAGGAACTTCAGTTGGGTGTTTCCCAAAATTAGGGGTACCCTTTTGGGTAAGGATTATAGTATATTGGGGTCTATATTGGGGTCCCTCTATTTTGAGAAACTACCAGTTCAGTTACCAGACACGGTGTATATGCTAAATAATAGGGTTTATTCATTCTAAAATAAAAAAAAAAATCCTTAGCAGCAGCCCGGGATCATGCTGTGCGTTTTCCAAGGCTCCTTCAACAAGCACAGCCTCAACAAGTCTTTCAGCACATCACGGGTGGTCATGGGTTTTTGGAGAGAAATCTTAAGTCGCCACATACCCATGTCAAGGCTTCCTAGGTTTTCGTTGGGCTTACTCACGATAGCCGGAAGTGGGGAGTTCAGACCCCACCAAGTGGAAAGCCATTTTGAAAGACTCTGGCGATCCATGGGGGTCGTCCAGGTTCATGGGGCCCCCTTACGGATTGTATGGGGCCACGCTGAGAAACTTCCATATCAGACCCTGAACTCCTAAACCCTAAACCCTTTACCCTGAAACCCCTAACCCCCTGCACCCTTAAACCCTAAAACCCCTAGATCCTAAACCCCTAAAGCGCGTCGCCTTGCTGAGACCTGCTGGACGGTGAGATGCTCCCTATTCAATAATAACTGAGGACTTGGTATTTAGGATTTAGGGTTTAGGATTTAGGGTTCAGGGTTTAGGATTTAGGGTTTAGGGTTCAGGGTTCAGAGTGTAGGGTTCAATCAACAATTTCGGATTTAGGGGATTTAGGGCGGTAACGGGACGAAGGACTCTCATAGGTATATTAGGGCCCTGTTAACTCCATGTTCAGGGCCTGATACTGTCGGGGGATTACACCTAAATAACTATGTACTGTGGGGCCTTTATGGTCTTAAACACGTGGTTTAGGGTTTAGGTTTAGAGCTTAGGGTTAAGAAGTTTAAAGATTTACTCATATTACGTTATATAGGGCTATATGGTTATATTGGGGTATATAGCCCGATGGTCGAGAATCAAATGGAAACACAATTGGACAACTAGAAGGAAACTACGTTTTACGGTTTGGGGCTTAGGATTTAGGATTTGAGGGCTATGACCTCTTAATGGAGAATCAAGTGATAAAAAACGCGGAACACGAAATGGAAACTGGTCTTATAACATGGGCAGGTATATTAATTGGGATTCTGGGATGTAGGAGCCTGAACAACTAGCAGTATCATGTTCAGGTCTATTTGAGGTACCCTGTGCTATAGCAGATACAGAAGGAACCTAGGACCACAGTATTGGTAATTATTGAGGCTACTGTAGAAATGGATTTGAATTTTGTCTGGGTGCTCACAATCGTTTGTATGCAAGGGTCGACGGGCTCATGCTCTGCGATGTGGCAAGTGCTGCAGAGGAGTTTGTTACCAAGGGGTTCCGGATCAATTCACATGAGCTAGCAGGAAGAAGTCAAATATGATATAGGCAATCTTTCAAGGAAAGCTTGGCTGGGAATGCTATCTGCTTCCAGTATGAAAAAGGCATGTGCAGAAGAGCTCCTTATTCAAAGGCGATGCCACGACATGCGGGCTGTGCATGTTCTCTGAAATGCTCAGAAGCTGAAGGTGCTGCGAATCATTCGTTTGCTGGACTGGCATGAAACACAGCCGCATTTAAGAGACTGCCTTGCGCAGTTTCTTGTAGTATATAATATAAGTATTGTAGGTAGCACTCAAACAAATCGAGCCCTCAGCGCCTCTTTCTGAAAATCCTCTGCCCTCTGCCGCCTAGGAGTTCACGCTCCCTTCAATATAACCCCGCACACGAGAGTAAACCATACAGGGGGTTACTGTTTAAGCACTTACCGCCAGTTACCATAATATGGACATCAAACGATGAATATGGTTTACCTATGATAAAAACTCAAGCCAGGAAAAGCATGCTTAAAAAAAAGAGCTCCAACTGGTCCAGCAGCAGTTACAAGATTCATTAAGGATATGGAAAGCACCAAAATGATCCCGGAGAAGTACACGACCAGCACAGGCTTCCTGGTTCCACATGAGGATGTGAATTGCAACTCAGCGTTTAGGGTCTAGGGTAGTATGAAACCAAGATTGTGTTGAAACTTTGATCCAGCTTCTGGTAGACCAAAGGTACGTAGATGTTGGCAATAGAGTCCAAGGTCACAAACCTTGGTTCCGGGGTCGCACCGGAAAGGAAGCGACAGAAAGAGTGCAGCTGACCTCCCTAGATAATTTGAAAAAAAAAAACATCATTAGATAAACTTAATTTTGCACTATATGCCCCTATATAATCCCTATATAACAACGTATAACACTTTATAATTCTTATATCACCCTCTATGATCCTACAACCCGTATAACCCCTATATAGCCTTACCTGATCCGTATATATCCCTGCAAATTCTTATGTAGCCCTATATTCTCCATGCATAATCCCTACATACATTCCCAAGGAGGCGGCAGTTGAAACAACTCCAAACCCTAAATCCTAGACCCTAAACCCTAAACTCTAAACCCTAAAGCCTAGACCCTAAACTCTAAACCCTAAGTCCTGGACGCTAGACCCTAAAGCATGAAACACCTCTTCGACCCAGGATCTCTATATCTCTGGTCACAAAAACAAATATGTACAGGTTGGGTCCTTCCCCCACCCATGAACAGTCTGTAAGAATAAGGGTCATATTAAGTTCTATATGACTTTGCTATACTTATTAATTCGCAGGGGCAGCATCCGATCTATAGGTATATAGGAGATATATCAGGTGGTATAGGCTTACGTCGGGGATGTATGTTTGCATAGGGGCATATAGGTACATACTCAGTCAGCAGAAAATTGAATGGACAAGAAAATGGAAAACAACATGGAAACTGGAATTCTGCATTCGAGGTTCTGGGGGGAAGGGTTGACCAGCAAGTAGGTTCAGAATTCGGAAAACTCGGTCTATGATATGGCTGAAGCAGATACTAAGTATACTTACTACGTGTCCCTGACCGTCTCAAGCAGCCCTAAACCTTAACGCTAAACCCTAAACCTTAAACCCTAAATCCTAAACCCTAAACACTGAATCCTAAACCTAAACCCTGAATCCTAGACCCTAAACCCTGAATCCTGAACCCCAAACCAACCTTGTGGACCCTAGGCACTGCGCCAAGGTTAGCATAGTCATCGGGAGTGAACCGAACCGGTCGTCCACGATGTGAGCTGTGCTGGGGTGGGATAGTAGGACCTCGGAATTATCATTAGGCTTAGGATTTAGGGTTTAGGATGTAAGGTTTAGGGTAACCATTGTACTTTTCGACCATGCTATACTATACTACTGTCATTTCTGTCGATAGCCTTCAGAGAGCTCCCCCCGCGATTGCGAGCATCACAGTGGACTGTGTCGCTGTTATAAATGGAGGTATAGTTCCCCTTGGGTAAATAGCACATGGAAATCCCCAAAATAAACCCAGAACCCTAAAGCCCCTAAACCCTAAAAACAAAAAAGCCAAAAGCCGAAGCTCAAAGCTCAAAGATCATAGGGAGCCCAGGGTTTAGGGTTTAGGGCCTAACAACGGAAATATATCCCTCTACACCCTGTGGCTCCCAATGAAAAGAGGAAACTGCATGGAGCCCAATGCACTGGGTCCTTGCTGATGAGCTCCACCCCCAGACAGGCTGACACATAGAGCGTCAGCAAAACCAACCCCAATGTAGAGGTCATAGTGGTACCTTGGCAGTTGACAAATGACGGGCTTCTGGTTAATCTTCATACTTTAGTTCCACTACTTTATCTACTGTGGTGCAAAAGCCACCCCTGATTTTGACAGCCCCTGGCCTGAAGTCAAGAGCCCAAACACTAGCCTCCAAGCAGTTCGGAACCAGCGCAGCATCCGCAGGGCCCGGACAAGCCTGAGGAGACGCAGCGCGCGCACAACGATCACCTGCGCCGATTATAGGGTTTGGGGTTTTCGTTTTTTTTTGAGGATGCGAATGCTACGAGAACACGTTTTGCGGTGAGGTTGCCATCTTTACAAGGACATGTAAAGATTCTTTGGCAGCAATATTAACAGCAATCCAGCAGAAAGATATACAGATAAACACAACAATGCTGGAATTACTCACAATGGCAGCAAGCAAAACTGAGCTGCCCTCCCTTTTAATGTAGCAATACTACGATAGGCTTCTGTATAGAGATGCTCCTGAATAGAACAAGTACGTACCTAGAATCTCCATTCAATTTTCTATATACCCTAAATACCCACTATTAGGGGACCCCCATTTAAGGGTAGAAAGAAGGTCCTGGTACTCAGCATCGAAAGAATCTCTTAACCCTGTCTCTCTTGTTCTGTTTCTTCTTAGCACGGGCGCGCTACGACATTGAAGACATGGCTGGCATTCATTGCTTGATTTAGAGTTGAGGTTTAGGGTATAGGGTCTAGGGTGTAGAATATAATTCTGTAAGGTCTAGGGTTTACAGAGTTTAGTGTTCAGGAGATACTTCCAAACCTGCAGACCCATTTCTGATACTGGAACTTTGCTTTGGGCGAACTATAGTCCCCCCCAAGTAGATAGAATACGGGGTATATGGGGATCTGATTGTAATATACCCAAGGCCATATTCTATCTACCTAAGGGGGGACTATAACCCAAAACCCTAAACCCCAAAAATAGTAGTTTCCATGTTCTTTTCCATTATCCCTATATAAACCCCAAGATTACCCTAATATATTCTACCTTAGGGGGATTAAACCTGTTCACATCATGCTGTAGGCTCTCTACATGCCTAGGACCCTGGTAACAAGAAGCGGCTCTTGGGATCAAATGATGTGAGATGTATGAGTGCTTTTAAAGGTTTAGGGTTTAGGGGTTTCGGGTTTAGGGGTTTAGGGTTTAGGGGTTTAGGGTTCAGAGTATATCAATATTTCTCTGTTTATACGCAGAGAGGGGAGATCCTCACCTCAAGGGCACCTGCCTTAGAGGCCCAAGCCGTAATCCCGAATGGCGACATGTCACCAAAACCTCTTCGGATGGCCCTAAGCGGAGCCTGGAGACCCCATATATGTGTAGTTCCCAAAATTAAGGGTCCCATTTTTGGTACTCCTAAATATTAGGTGCCGTACTATACTCTATGACCAACAGGAGCCCATAATTTTGATCACAACCCATATACACAGATGAGCTGTCTCTTCGCAATATGCTACCGTCGACGTGACAGCGTTGAAATAAGGTTTCCGGGTCCTCTATACGAGAACCATATAAGGATGATGATGGAATAGTATGCCTAATTGTTCAGGCTTCTACATGACATAATACCTAGAAGCCCGTTTATAATTCCCATATCCAATTCATTTACTGCTTTCTTCTCCTTTTGATTCTGCAACATTCCTACGTGTTCCGCCTTCTGCACCTTGAAACCTGCAAACCGGCAACCCCACCTATGTCATCCCCATACTCTTCCTATCCCTATCTGGAAGTTTCTCAATAGAATCCCTGTACATCCCCAACAAGGACCCCATAGAATCCTCTAAACCCTAAATCCTAAACCCCAAACCCTAATCCCTGAACCCTAAACCCTAAACCCTAAAGCTTTTTCGACTCATGAAGGCCGAGGTACGGAGTTTAGCAAGGACAGGAGCCTAGGGTCACAAGCAACACTGTTCTGGCTTGTGGAATTCGGGTTTAGGGTTTAGGGTTTGGGGTTTATGGTTCACGGTTCATTTGGCTTGTTGGTTTAGCGTTCCTATGAGGGTTTAGGGTTGCGGCTTCTGGGTTTAGAGTTTGCACGGTCTACGCGTCGTACTGCTCTAGGACCGAAAGAACTCCCCAAATGTGATCCCCACATATCCAGCTATCTCAGGCTCAATTACTGAAAGATGCCTATTAATGAAGGAAGGGGTGAAAGGGAATATTGTCAGGGGTTCTATAAGGACGGCTATAGCGAAGCATCCCACCATTCCCCACAAGCCACCAGGCAGTTTTGGGCTTCTAATTTTTGCTTGCAGTGTGTTACTTTTAAGATGCTAGAATGCTCAGGAAGGAGAAGCGGGACTGTTCGAAAAAAGAGGAAAACCGCCGTACCGTACCCGGGAAGCCAGAAATCGAGAATATCATTCCTTTTTGGTAATCACTCAAGCCGCCGCTGCCGCTGCGGCTGCGTCCGCCACCAGCTTGTACTAGAGGGGTTTACTTTCCCCTAGACTAACCATGGTCTTGCACCCTGTCGCGGCCGGCTGATGGGTGGCACCCTACAATATACCTAGCTATGCAAGGAGCCCAGAACCAATATATTGGTAACTCTTCTGGCCCTTCATTCCATGACCCCTATATATACATCCCGACAAGAAATTGTTATGTCATCTTCAATGCTCTTTTCCATTAGGTTCTCCATCCCCTAAACCCTGAGGCTCCAAACCCTATGTGTCTCAATGTTCAACCCCTGTAACACCAATTATCAAGGTCCTAAACCTTGAACCCCTAAACCCTACATGAGCTTTAGTCTAAACTCCTAGCATCCCCTTTCATAACCCTATAGCAGTTGACTATCTAATCCCCTATATAACCCCTATAAGGAGTTTAGACTATAGCTCACATTAATGGATGCCCCAGGAGCTCGGTGTTGCCTGTTAGTGGAGCCAGGAGCTGCGCTGCTATGCTCGCAGCGCCCAAGGCCACAGACACAAAGTCAAAAACGAACCTGGGCTTGATGGGTAGGGTTGGAGTCCCCCTTAAGTAGATAGAATATTAGCGTAATATTGGAGTTATATAGGGATAATGGAAACGAAAACGGAAACTACTATTTAGGGTTTAGGGTCGCCTTTAAGTAGATAGAATATGGCTTTGGGTATAATTTAATAAGATCCCCATATACCCCATATTCTATCTACTTAAAGGGGGACTATAGGGTTTAGGGCCGGGGCTAAATGAGCTGTTTCTCCGGGACCTAAACTGGGTTGGATATTCGTATATAGGATTCCCTATGAAAACCATGAGGCAGAATAAAAAATGTCCCAGGGGCCCACCCAGTAAACTCTAAACCGAGTGCAGCGTGCAGGTTGTGGATTTGAGGTCTGGGCTCTGAGTTAGGGTTTAGGGCTTAGGTTTTAGGGTTTAGGGTTTGGGGCTTAGGGCTGAGGCTTAGGGGGGCGGGGGACTCATCTAAGCTGTCTGGGATGCTTGAGTCATGGGCTTTCTGCGTGGCAGCGCTGGATGTTTGAAAGCTGATCGCGATTTTTGTGGATCCCTATGGCTTTCATACCAGAAGTCCTTGGAGAATTCATAGCCTGGGACCTGCCCCCACCCATCAACAGTCTATAATACGGGCCATATTAAGGGCTATGTGTATATAGTCCCCCTTAAGTAGATAAAATATGGCTTGGGGTATATTATACTAAGATCCCCATATACCGCATATTCTATCTACTCAAGGGGGACGATAAGTACTGACTGGGGGGCGGTACCCAAAGCATAGCTCTGGCTTCCAAAGGGCCGAAGCTCAAATTCCTTGTACCCAGCACCCCCAAAATCCTCAGCCTGCTACCCTAAACCCTATAAGCCCTACACACTGAAGCCACACCAGATCCAAGTTGCGTATACCCGTAAGCCTGACCAGTTCCACCCTAAAGGGCTGAGACCCTATATCAACCCTACGAAGCGCTGCGCCTAAACCCTAAACCCTCCAAACCCTAAACCAACCACGATCCAGTAGCCAGCCGTCAGTGAAGCACAATTTGGCTCCCCAGGCGAAAATGCGAATCCCAATCTCGGCCACGTAGAGCGTCACGAAAACAATGTCGAGAGGCCTGAGGTGCTCAAGGGACAATGGTTTGGGGTTTAGGGTTTAGGGTTTAGGGTTTTAGGGTTTTAGGGTTTAGGGCTCCCTAATTAACTATGGAATATTCTAGTATAGTATGGTATACTGTAGTATATTATAGGGTAATTAATGTAGACCCCTAATTAACTATGGAATATTACGGTAGGTTCTGGTATGTTACAGTATTTTATAGTGTAATCAATGTAGACCCCTATTTAACTATGAAATGTTATAGTGTAGTATGGTATATTATAGTATTTTATAGGTAACTAATGTAGACCCCTAATTAACTATGGAATATTCTAGTATAGTATGATATATTATAGTATATTATAGGGTAATTACTGTAGACCCCTAATTAATGACCCCCCTCCACTTAAATGGGGATTATAGTAGAGTTAGTAGAGGTCCCATTATAACCCCCATTAAGCGGAGGTTGTTTATTGATCAGGGGTTTGGGTTAGGGCATGGAGTTTGGGTTTCCAACCGGAGTGTCCTTTCCTCAGAGCTGCCTTTAGCAGACCTTTGACGGGTTACGCTTTCGGGCTTAGGGTTTAGGGTGTAGGGTCGAGGGTTTAGGGTGGTTGAGATAATGTCTGGGTTCAGGATCCACAGCTTGTGGATAACAACCGCTCTAACACAGGAGGGTTATATGTACACTTACCAAGACCCCCTGACCCTCCACGTACTCACCCGCAACCAACATAGAGATCTTGCTATGGCTATAGCATCGTGCCGTAAGCCCAGATAACCTAATCCCTCCACAGCGACCACGTAACTACAAATTATACATGACCCGTGAAAGTACTTACTGGCCTAGGGTCTGGAGCGTAAGTGGTTTCTTACGGTAAGCAAACTTGGATGGACCTAAAGCTCATTGGCAGGCAAGTACGCTGCGTGGAAGAAAATCCATCTGCCGTTGACAAAGATTAAACCCTAAAACCCTAAACCTTACAGAGCAATGCCTCCCTGCAGGCTCCCATTGCTGCAATGCAAGTATGGTGCATATCTAACGGATAGATGATCAAGCACAAGACATACCACACCAGGTCTCAATTTGTCAAGCTGCAGTGCTTTGTT